AGAATGTAAATTCCCCGGCTGTATTGCTATTATTTTAATTCTTTCTAAGGCTGCATTCACGCAGAGCGTTTGCGGTTTTCCGCGCGGAACGAAAACGCTAGTGTTTTTCAATCCGCGCGAATGTTGCTCTTTTTGTGGCTACTAAATAGCTGCGAACGTACGGAATCCACGGGATTATCGCGCTTGCACTATTTCGGGCAAATAGAGAGTCCCACCGCTCTCCTGACCGAGAGGCCCCATACAATGTGAGGGCGGGGGGTGCTGAAGTGGCCGCAGATGGCGCCGCCAAATACTTGCAACACAGAAAAATGGTCACCAGCACTCCAGGTTTTCTTCAAAACGAAATCCTTTTTTATTCATTCTCACAGGTCATATCACCATGCGTGGCAACGTTTCGGAACCTGTCCGGTCCCTTCATCAGGCAAACAAAAGTGATGCTTCTATTTGTTTGCCTGATGAAGGGACCAGACAGGTTCCGAAACGTTGCCACGCATGGTGATATGACCTGTGAGAATGAATAAAAGGATTTTGTTTTGAAGAAAACCTGGAGTGCTGGTGACCATTTTTCTGTGTTGCACTAGTTCTGCACGGTTTCGTGCCGCGTGGTCCACCACAATGGTGTGTACGGTGCACATTGAAGTGCATTGTTTTTTTTGTGTTTAGAGTGGCTCCGCGCGTATCCGTACAGCTGAATATGCGTGGACAGCCGCTCAGGTGTGAATGGAGCCTTAGTCTCCAGCCTTGAACAAGTGTAGCGATAAGGAATTCTGACACTTTGTGATTCAAAGCAAAAGCTGGTGGATTGCCTCAGACGAGGGCTCCCTGCCCACACCTCTCCCCCTCAATTAAGTCAAGCAAGCAAAAGTAGGGTATGGAGGGTTTCTAGAGAGGTAAAAAGGCAATGACCATGTGTATATATAAAACATATATCAAAAGTTTATTGTACATAAAAATCATAGGTAGAAATGAATCCAGTAAGTAAACGCATTTTTAGTCCATACATGTAGATTTATGCAGTCTCTAGAAACCCTCCATACCCTACTTTTGCTTGCTTGACTTTGTGATTCAGAAGTACTGAAGCCAGACAGAGCTGGGCAACTCTCATTTTCAAATTAAGCCAAAGCAGCTTCCTTACTTTTCTCACGACCGAGGTTTTTTCAAACCTGGCACACATAGGTGTTAGAATAGAGGCTGTTCACTTAAACCGTATCTAAACCCTGCCAAAAAATGTAACATATTGCAGCTTACATGATCTTTGATATGGCAGCTGCATTAGTTTCCATTCTTATTTATTGTACCTTGATCTTCCTTGATTGTCCTAGTGTGACAACCTATTTACTGTACTGTATACGCGGATGACCAGCGTTGTCATCCTAAGCTGTGGTCCTGATTGGACTACTACAAACACCTCCACTGCGTAGACAGGATTCACTTTGTAGACGTTAACTGATAACATTGTAGGAGATATCAGTTGAGTGTACAGGACGTTACACAGACACTGGCTTTCTGACAGGATCAGCAGCTATTTTCTATAAATCAAAAGTTTTCATTGTTTTTCAGTACAAAACATTCACGGAAGGGTATCAACATAAGAACATATCAAACAATACGGTAATTGCTCATACAAAAAATATCACTACAGCCTGGGTAGCATAATACACAGATCATTGTGCAGGTGATGACGTGCAGCAGCTATTTTCTATACGAATACAGTCACTACATCGAAGGACTGATGAGCTGCAATACATTCCATTTTGCTCTTGAGTTTACATATACTGGAATTACTTTTTAACTGAACCAGATAGTCTCCAAAATATGAAGAAATAAACTATTGAAAGTGAATGTCTGTTTATATAATGCTTTCGCACAAGTCTAACAACGTTCACAAATGTTTCTCTGTGTGAATCCTGGGGGCAAAAACTTGTGTGAAGCCATCTATAAAAAGACCCCTTGGTTAGTAAATCTGGGTTCAATTGTATTAAGGTGCCCATACACCTGCCGATTATCGTACGATAATCGGCAGGTGTATGGAAGGCGTGCTACCGTTTCTACTGTAAGGTCGCACCACTTTCGTCTTCCTAGCACGCTTGAAACCCCGCCGAGAATCGTACGATTTTCGGCGGATTAGTGGCATTCTCGGGAGACATGCTGCACGTGCAAGCGCACACTGCCTGCTCAGCATCGGAAGCCCTCCCCTCAGCAGGGAGGGCTTGCGATGATCGCAAGTACGATCTGCCTGTCCAAGATGGGCAGATCGTACGAGCTTTTAATTACCTTACAACCATGGCAGGATGAAAGTCGTGCGATGGTTGTAAGGTGTATGGGCAACTTTACACAATAATTTGCACAGGAACATAAAAAAAGTTGTTGCAATTGATTGGATGACGGAAGTGCCCAGATGGAACTCCGTTGATTCTAAAGTTATTTAAAGGGTTATTAAACGCTCCGCTGTTTTTGCATATATATATATACAGATGTTCCTCACTTACCGACTTACCTGTTTTGCGACCACTCGCACTTACGACGGACCGCCGATCGACCTCCGACCTTCCGCGTCAGCGTCAGTGCGACGGGTCGCCGGCGGAAGTGACATCCCCCGATCTTCACTGCAGGTCTCGGTAAGTATTTCCATTGCCGGATGTACAGTACACTGTTCGGTACTGTACATCGGCAACGCTATACAGTACTGTACTAATGCAGTATAGTACTGTATAGAGTTCCTCACTTAACGACCAATCCGTTTAACGACCTGGTCGTAGGAACGGAACTCGGTCGTTAAGTGAGGAATACCTGTATATATATATATAAATAAGGCTAGCAAACAGTAGATGTATGCAAAAACTTTTTTTTTAAAACAAACGCTTTAAAGAGATCATTACTTACATGTGTCTTCGCCTTGAGCTCCCGTCCGAAAATCGGAAAACTCTTGGATGGCCGCAAACAATTTTGGGGCGGGCGCATACGCAGTTCAGATTTTCAGAGGAGAGACACAAGGTAAGTACCCTGTTTCCCCGAAAATAAGACCTAGTACTATTTTTGGGAATTGTTAAAATATAAGACCTACCCCGAAAATAAGACCTATTTGTAACCATTCCCAGGGCCAGTGGTGGCATAAGGGGGAACTTGAAGAGGTGGGAGAGAATCAGCGGTGCCAACGCTAGAGGAAGCGAAGCGGCAGCGGAGGGAGCAGAGCCACATAAGCCGATGTCTCCTCTATAGCGCCGTCTCCTGTCACAGGCGGAGTGATAACAATAGCACTCCGCCTGTGAGAATTCGATAGTGAAAGTGGCCAGCAATTGGTTAGCAAATTGCTCTTGGAAAGGTACGGCACCCCTGATTGCCCTGATCACCATATTGTTGTACATGAATAAATGTGGATTGTTGTACATTAAAAAAAAATAAGACTTTCCCCCAAAAATAAGACCTAGTGTGTTTTTTTGAGCCCAAAAAAATATAAGACCGTGTCTTATTTTCGGGGAAACACGGTATATGGACGCGTGCACCCGCATGCAGACTCCGTGGGACAGGAAGTGCCAGCAAGCACAGAGGGGTCAGCGCTGGATCAGAGACCCACAGCAGCGCTGGAGGGGCAGGTGAAAAGGACAGGAAAGAAGAAGAAAATCGGACTAAGAGACATCATTTAAGGTAAGTGCTTACACTAACATTGGGGGGGAGGGGAAAAAAATACTTTAATGTCACTTTAAACATTCACTTTTGCTAAAAACAGTCTCTATTCCTCCCATAAAGAATGTTACTTACATGAGGGTAACGGCCAAAAACCTGTGGGTGACACCAACCACCTTCATGTATGCTGTGTCTTGCAGTTTGAGGCTAGGACTTAGCATTTCCAGGAGCTACTCAAACCTGGTTTAACCCCGTTAACGACGAAGGTAAAAACAAGCCTTGAAGCGTGAAACTAGTTTTGCAACTTTGGCATGCGTTAGTAAGACTATACGAATCTTTGCAACTACTGTATCCAGATGAACTTTTTTCAGGCCAGTTTGGGGCTTCATTTGGTGGTGAATGTTAATGGATATCTGCTGACTTTTTTTTTTTGTTAAGTATTAAAGGGAAACTGGGACAAATTAGTAAAAAAATAAAAATAAATACTATTGCCACATGACTTTTACCGCAAAAAAAATCCTCCAAAATAAATCGGTACACAATGCTCTTCCAAAGACAATCTAATTTTATTCCACATGCATCTACCAAAAAAAAAAAAACACCTTACTCGGCTTTAGTCATAGCTATTACTAAAGGTGAGTAGCACAGAAACGTGCCAGCGACGTGGAATAAAATAAAATCTTATTTGATAAGCATTGTGTGCCGGCTTTGCAAATTGTTTGACAATTACTCTAAAAGAAGGTTATCCGTGCTCCGAATGTGGATTAGAAGGATGCATGACAGGGGTGAGCGGTCCATTTTGTGTTTTTAGTTTCCAAAATAAATCCTCCTACTCCTAACCTTCATGGCGATACATATATGTGCAATTTTTATACCACAATTGAGCGTGCTCCCAGTAGAAACATGCCGTATATATGTGGCACCCTGTACAAAGCCCACTTCTATGATGCTACATATACACTATATTGCCAAAAGTATTGGGACGCCGGCCTTTACACACACATGGTTAGTACGCAGCCCCTGCCCTTCTCTATGGGACTACGCCGCCCTACGATCACCCGCCCTGCACGTCCGTGCGGGTGAACTTACTCGTACGCTAACAGGATGGATCCTGTCTGCGTCCGAGACAGGACACACGCACCTGTACAGACCTGCACTTGAGGTGAGTGTAGGGGGGCGTATGGCCGTGTAGTTACATAGAGAAGGAGGGGCTGCGTACAAATCATCCATAGAGAAGGACAGGGGCTGCGTACTAGGCCCATCAGTGTGGCTTACACTTCAATGTGCATTCGGATCTCACAAAAGGGAATACTGTATGGCTTAGCATTAACTCTAGTTGCACCTTACTGTAATTTTATTCCCTTTGTTTTAAACAGATGACTATGAAACGTATGAAGAAGAAACGTACACCAAAAGCTATAACCGCCCGCAAGCTCACCAGAGGGTAAGTGCCTGCTTTGCTTTTACAGAATATTGAAACATAAAAAGACTTCCAGATTTAGCAGCTCTCAATTACCTCTGTCCTAGAAGAGGAACTGTAGCTGCTTTTAAGCTTTACTTTATAATTCTGTCATGTTTACACAAATTACATGAAGGAGAGAGCCATCTGCAATCCCCACTGCCGTGTTGCTTAAAGGGTGTATATGGTCAAAACTAAAACGAAATCTGTATTTCTACATTGAAGTTCTATCCCACTCCTAATAACCATCTCCATCTAAAAGTTTGTAAACTTACTAACATAAGCTTACTATAGGATGAACTTCCTCGGGACACAATCAACGTCTGAACAATGTAACATTATTATTGCGTGCTGGAAGCAATGCCTGAAGGGATATGTAGTCGTATAAAATGGAGTTTGCTTACATTAAGCAGCAGAGAAAGAGACACAAAGCACCCCAGGAAACCAGGAAGTTGGTTAAAGTGATGGACAGGTGGAAGGCAGCACTCACTAGGAGTGAATCTAACCTGGCCAAGAGATGCTTAGGGTAACAGTGCTGAAATGTAGGCACCGTACCCATGATATCCCTCAGGTTGTGGCCAAGAGATGCCTAGGGTAACAGTGCTGAAATGTAGGCACCGTACCCATGATATCCCTCAGGTTGTGGCCAAGAGATGCCTAGGGTAACAGTGCTGATGTGTAGGCACCATACCCATGATATCCCTCAGGTTGTGGCCAAGAGATGCCTAGGGTAACAGTGCTGAAATGTAGGCACCGTACCCATGTTATCTCTCAGGTTGTGGCCAAGAGATGCCTAGGGTAACAGTGCTGAAATGTAGGCACCGTACCCATGTTATCCCTCAGGTTGTTGCCTAGAGATGATTAGGGTAACAGTGCTGAAATGTAGGCACCGTACCTATGTTATCCCTCAGGTTGTGGCCAAGAGATGCCTAGGGTAACAGTGCTGAAATGTAGGCACCGTACCCATGCTATCCCTCAGGTTGTGGCCAAGAGATGCCTAGGGTAACAGTGCTGAAATGTAGGCACCGTACCCATGTTATCCCTCAGGTTGTGGCCAAGAGATGTCTAGGGTAACAGTGCTGATGTGTAGGCACCATACCCATGATATCCCTCAGGTTGTGGCCAAGAGATGCCTAGGGTAACAGTGCTGAAATGTAGGCACCGTACCCATGTTATCTCTCAGGTTGTGGCCAAGAGATGCCTAGGTTAACAGTGCTGAAATGTAGGCACCATGCCCATGTTATCCCTCAGGTTGTTGCCAAGAGATGATTAGGGTAACAGTGCTGAAATGTAGGCACCGTACCCATGTTATCTCTCAGGTTGTGGCCAAGAGATGCCTAGGGTAACAGTGCTGAAATGTAGGCACCGTACCCATGCTATCCCTCAGGTTGTGGCCAAGAGATACCTAGGGTAACAGTGCTGAAATGTAGGCACCGTACCCATGTTATCCCTCAGGTTGTGGCCAAGAGATGCCTAGGGTAACAGTGCTGAAATGTAGGCAACGTACCCATGTTATCCCTCAGGTTGTGGCCAAGAGATGCCTAGGGTAACAGTGCTGAAGTGTAGGCCCCGTACCCATGTTTTCCCTCAGGTTGTGGCCAATAGATGCCTGGGGTAACAGTGCTGAAATGTAGGCCCCGTACCCATGTTATCCCTCAGGTTGTGGCCAAGAGATGCCTAGGGTAACAGTGCTGAAGTGTAGGCCCCGTACCCATGTTTTCCCTCAGGTTGTGGCCAATAGATGCCTGGGGTAACAGTGCTGAAATGTAGGCCCCGTACCCATGTTATCCCTCAGGTTGTGGCCAAGAGATGCCTGGGGTAACAGTGCTGAAGTGTAGGCACCATACCCATGTTATCCCTCAGCTTGATTCTTGTGTGCCTTTGGATCCCCTTGTAACGTGTAAGGCTCAGGCTGTACACAGGGACACAACTTCCTAACTTATTATTAAGTCTTCTTCATTTGTCCCAATGTCAGAGCACTTGCTTGCTGGGGCTTAGCACTGGAAGGGTATGTTTTTCAGAGTGGAAGAGTCCCTGTATAAGGCAAATGGGTTTACTGTGTACTATAAAAGGTGCTGACCTAAAAGCAAATAGATAATAATTCAATGATAGAGTCAAAGATCTCAGGTTACAGAGTAGCATCCTTCTAACCAAATGAAGGTAAATCTCTTGTTATGGGCAGCACAGAGATGTCTTCCTTTAGACACTTTAATTCAAGGTGCTTTTGTGTGATTGTTATTAATGGTTTTGATGTTTCTGTCGGTTACCTTGATGTCTGTTTTTCATGTGCAAAAAACATCTTTATTTTGCAGACAAGAGAAGATCTGCGGAACAAGTAAGTGATTTGAACAGATTATTCTGATTTGCACAATACAGCTGAAATCCATATATAGTTTCATATATAGGCAGGTGATGAAGTAAGTCCATCAATTCAGACTGGGCACAGGATGAACACTTTCCTCTATTGATCTTGTAAAGTCTTACCAGTCTTTAGGTGTAGTATCTGCATTAGGGTTTTTTTTTAGGGTTTTTTATTTTTACCTTTATTTTCACCTGGTGCTGTTGCCAGGACACACACACGTTCTTTCCTAGGGTGACAATGCTCACTGATTGAACTGTATCTCTAGAGGAGCAGCATTATCATCTAGGACAGGCAGTGTGTTAGGACTACAGAATACCTCCGTTTCTCCTTCTCTCCATAACATAGGGGTGAGGTGCTCAGTGGTCTGCATAGTGAAAGGGACAGGGATGATAACACTGCTAACAGATAACATTGCAGGAAAGTGTACATGAAATTACAAGCTTATTAGATTAGCGGCACATTCACTCAGGCAGGGCTAATAACACTGTAGAGTACGCAGGAAAGCACTGGAATTCTGGCAGGATCAGCAGGTTTTTTTTTTGAACACTTTTAATGGTATATTCAACAAACCAAAGAGAGCAGTAAGATTATTAACATTTACATACACTTTAACGAATCAATACAAATTATTGGTAGGAGGCAGGCCGAGCTCAATTTTTACAGAAAATGACGGGACGAGCAGGAGAGCGCTGTCAGCGGCCTCACAGGAGGCCGAGCTCTCCTCTTGCACCACCCGGTTCGGCCTTCTGTGATACCGTTGTGACAAGCAAATCAGGATGGAGGGCGGTGCAGGGAGGAGACAAAAAAATGTTTTTGGTTTGGCAAATTTTTTAGTTTTGGTTTCGGTCTGAAAATTCCATTTTGGTGCACCTCTAGTTATGGTCACTGGTCATGATTATGGCTTCTCTTCCTGCCGCATACTCCATCAGCAGTTGGATGAGCATCAGATTATATTTACATCGGCGGATGAATGGTGATGTCATTCCATAAAGAATAGGTTAGTGCAAGCATACACAGAATGCATGCCAATGTGGATACAGAATGGTGGGGGGATGCTTTCTTCGGGGCAGCCTTGTAATGACCATTTTGAAATTAAATTGTGGAGAACCCCTTTAGGTTGGATAATGTTTATTTCAAGCGTATTCTGTGTATTCCTGTACTCGACTAATCTGACTTACACCTATACAGAAGCATCTTAATTTATTTTTTATATTTTTCTCCTTCAGTTCTAAAATTGGGGAAAACACATACCAGAACATATCCCAGGTGCGTCATCAGTCATCCTACTCCCAGGGAGTGGAAGCTCGCAAGCCCATCCGTCCAAAACCAAAGGAAGAGGAACCCAAGCAACTAACCAGACGCTTCCTTCCACTATGGCTGCAACTTATCCTGCTTCTTCTCTTGACTGGATTCCTGGTGTACCTTTACTGTCGTGAGACCAATCAGAACCCTTTCCTATTCTTGCAAGAAATCGTGTCTCAGCGTGAGAAGAATGCTGAAGCTGCAAATTGATTCACTATTGCCACATGTGAGAAGCTGTACAATCACTTTTTTTTGCCATTTAAATGGTTGTGTAATCTAAATATTGAGATGATTTAACTTACTAATGATGCCACTGCCATAGAGGCATGTCAGAAAGTTATCATCTCCTTATGTTTCATCTGAGAAAGATCTTTGTAATAACTGACGGCTTCATTAAAATGTATCTAAACCCAAAAACAAATGTAATGCATTGCAGCTTCCAGATGCCACGGCTGCAGTAGGTTTTTTTTTTCAGGCTGGTTTTTTTCTTTATTTGCACCTGTAACGTGCGGTCAGGGGAGGCGGGTGGGGCAGAGCCTCACCTAGACTTATGGAAGAAAAAGCTGTCAGCTTCAAGTCTGAAGCTGACAGCTTTTTCTCCATTCAGATCGGCATCTAACAGGTAACACAGCAGGGAAATCCTCCCCATTGTGTAACCTGTCATGGACGGAGTGCTGCCTGTTAATTACAGGCAGCGTTGCATCCACATGTTAACAGGAAGTTAGGTTACACAGCAGCGGCCTTCCTCACTGCTTGCGTAACCTAACTAGTAAGGCAAGAGCTGTCACAGCCTCTACTCTGTGTTAGAGGCATGAGCTTTGTGGATGGCATGGACCAATGGCAAAGTGCCATTGGTCCAAGCGGTAAAAGAAAAAAAAACCCCATTGAGGCCATCGATCTCGATGCCTCAGCCGGTGACGAGCAAGTGAGAGACATGGGGGGCTCCTCCCTTCCTCCTATACACTAGCTTGGGGGTGGGGCTTCATTCGGCCAGGGCTTCATCGGGCAGGGGGTGGGGCGTGCTGGGAGCGAGGCTGAGGAATGCCTCACCCGGAACAAGAGGTACCGCACGTCACTGCTCCAGTAACACACTTCCTGTCTTGGGGTGACAACACTAACTTACCATACTGTGTCTATGGAAGAGCGGCATTGTCACCCTAGGATGCTTTTCTGATTTGGTCTACAAACACCTCGTCATATCCTTATCTCCAATACATATGGGAATGGGGGTTTTCTTTTTTAAGTCCACAGAAGATCGCTGGCAAAGCGTTGTTTGAGAAATCAGTTCAGTGCACAGGAAGTTTCAAGGAGCCGAGCCTTGCAGAAAATGTACTTAGCTTGAAAAAGAAAACAAATGCAACCACCACATCTAAGGACTTGTAAGGTGCAATATATTAAATTTTTTGTTATTGGGTTTAGATGCACCTTAAATCCTTTCTCTTCTAGCTACCAACTATTGTGATAGTGTGTCTGTTTGGGCTTGTATGTCGATATGGCTGCAGGATAAACTAGAAGGTTTGCCTGCAGCAGGCATTTAGGACTGTCAGGGCTAGTGGTCATATTGGATTTTTCAGCCAGTTTCCACTGACCAGTGTGAGGGGCCAGAGATGCCTGTATGGCATTGTACATTTTTATAATACGGGCCTACATGTCTGTATACTAGTCATATTATGCATAAATCAAGTACAGTGGTACCTCGGTTCACAAACTTAATTGGTTCCACGATTCTGATCGCGAACTGATTTTTGGTTGTGAACCGAATCACATTTTCCCATAGGGTTCAATGTAAATCAGGTTAATCCGTTCTGAACCATATGAGAAAATAAAAATTGGCCATAAGTTTTTTTTTGCCACCATTCTTGCTCTGCACATCCTTGTCACCTTCATTAAGGCTCTGCACATTCTTGTCACCTTCATTAATGCTCTGCACATTCTTGTCACCTTCAATAACGCTGTGTACATTCTTGTCACCTTCAATAACGCTCTGCACATTCTTGTCACCTTTATTAATGCTCTGCACATCCTTGTCATCTTCATTACCACTCTGCACATCCTTGTCACCTTCATTGCGGTTCTGCACATTCTTATCACCTTCAATAACGCTCTGTACATTCTTGTCACCTTCAATAACGCTCTGCACATTCTTGTCACCTTTATTAATGCTCTGCACATCCTTATCACCTTCATTACCGCTCTGCACATTCTTGTCACCTTCATTAACGCTCTGCACATCCTTGTCACCTTCATTGCGGTTCTGCACATTCTTATCACCTTCAATAACGCTCTGTACATTCTTGTCACCTTCAATAACGCTCTGCACATTCTTGTCACCTTTATTAATGCTCTGCACATTCTTGTCACCTTCATTAACGCTCTGCACATCCTTGTCACCTTCATTACGGTTCTGCACATTCTTATCACCTTCAATAACGCTCTGCACATTCTTGTCACCTTCATTAATGCTCTGCGCTTTCTTTTTCCCACCATGCTTGCTCTGCACTTTCTTGGAAGCCATGCTGGATTGAATACAGTAATACTGTACAGTACTGTGCTACAAAGCACACCGAAAAGCTTCACCGTAAGTGTCCACAGCCCTGTCTGCGACCGCAATCTCGAGTACAGGAAGCCACGGCCACGTGTCAGAGCGGGGAAGATGGCCGCAATCGTGTTCGTCACCCGAGGCAGAGTTCACGAACAGAGGCAAAATTTTGACGAACTTCCTGGTCGTGAACCGAATTGTTTGTGAACCGAGGTACCACTGTACTTTGCCCGAGTTCCATTGGTACCTACTTCCTGTGAGCAGCTTTCATTACACACAACCAAAGCTGGTCATTAAACAAGAACAATGTTGAAGATAAAATAGTAGGGTCAGGTTGCAGTTTTGTTATTGTTCAACAAGCACATATTCTTTTTCTACGCTGTCTCTATACTCCCGGTGCAGCATGAAGTGAGGTCCTGGTTGGAGGAGCAGTGCTGTAGAGAAAGTGAACCTGTGCCCAGATCATGCACACTCAAGTATTTACACATTCTGAACAAGCAGTGAAAATACCTAAAGTAGTATTAAACTCTCAAACTTTTTTTCAATGAGGGCCGGTGCACAATCCTGCGAAAACAGCTCGGCATCTGAGTCGCCTAGGTGTGAACCTAGCCTAATGAATCCAAATCAAACAAATATACATCGGCCAGCAAAGTATTACTTTACATTTTTGCCCAAGCACTTAGTTATCATGTTTCCAAACAGCTCCAACTCTCTCTGCTCAGTTTCCCTGAACTCCCTGTCCAATACAAGATCACAAGGGACAGAGCAGTCTCCAGCAGCTGCCCATCTACTGGCTTGAGGAAGGGAAGGAGCAGGGGAGTGGATTCCCTTGCTGTTCCCGTGTGTTTGTGGGGACACACAGATTACTACCGTGTTTCCCTGAAAATAAGACACCGTCTTATATTTTTTGGGGCTCAAAAAAAACACACTAGGTCTTATTTTCGGGGTAGGTCTTATTTTCGGGGTAGGTCTTATTTTGTATTTGTTTTTAATGTATAACAATCCAAAGTTAATGCAAATCCACATTAAATAATACAAAATGGCAAAGTTAAGAATAGGGTGATCAGGGCAATCAGGGGTGCTGTACCTTTCCAAGAGCAATTTGGTAACCAGAAAAAGCAAAGCGCACTTTCACTATCGATTCCTCACAGGTGGAGTGCATTTGGTATCACTCCGCCAGTGACAGGAGTCGGCGCTATAGAGGAAGCATGGGCTTATGCCGCCCTGCTCCATGTCATGCTGCTTCGCTTCCTCTAGCGCTGGCTTCGTTGGCACCGCTGATTCTCTCCCGCGGCTCTTCAGGTTCCCCCTTATGCCACCACCGGCCCTGCCAATGGTCTTATTTTCGGGGTAGGTCTTATATTTTAGCAATTCCCAAAAATAGTACTAGGTCTTATTTTCAGGGAAACAGGGTAGCACTCACAAGGGTGGCTCCATAGCAAGGGAAAGAGGCCACCCTAAAACAAGATGTCAGGACCAGTGCTCAGGGGACCTGCAGGAAACTAAAACTTTTCAACATCAAGGAGTAGCATCCATTGTAAATGATTCAATAAGTATTTGAAATGGTTTACAAAACCTTTGAAGTTAATATCACTTTAAAGCTACACTTCAGGCAAGATCACCTTAACACCTTAGTTCTCAACTGGTACGTCGTGACCCAAAAGTGGGTCGCAAACCCATGTTCAGTGGGTCGCAGCGTGCCTTCCTCAGGCTCCCCCTATTGCAGCACTGCCAGTTCTTGAGCCAAACAACCATTCAAAATCCGGTGCCCAGTGTCAGCTTGAGGTGGGATGGGCTGGGGCTATGGCCATGAGGGAGCTCCATCCATACGTACAGCTTCCTTACTTGTCCCATAGAGGTGCCTGGACCAGAGTGATACATTCTGGCTCCCGCCACCTCTACAGGGCACACAAAGGGAGCTGTACAAGCAATGCACATATCGATGGAGCTCTGTCACAGCACAGCAGCCCACACTAGACCCCAGGCTGAGGATCTACTCTAGTTCTCGTAAGGTATGGCGATTGGGTGGATCTTTTGAACGGCATCCCCCAAACGCACCTCCCACCCACAGTTCGATCGCCCACATAGGAACGCACGGTGCTGCAATGCCGTGCGTTCCATTGCAGTGCGACTTGGGTCGCGACTTAATGACTAAGGACAAATGTGGGTCCTGAGGTTACACAGGTTAAGAACCACAGCCTTAACAGATTTCCAGCAAGCACAAAGTCATCTGTCATGCAAACATTCTTCCATATCCTGCAGATCAGTTAGTTTACATGCCAAAGGAAGTACATCTCCTGCTGTAATCTCCGCAGCTCTCATAGACCCCAGCACTATGGTTGGGTATCTGTTCCCTTCTCCTCCTTACCATTCCCACATCACGTGGCCCCAGACTCAGTTTTGTAAGTAGTCTGGAGGAGAGGGGGGGGGAGACACGACTGTAATGCCGGGGTCTACGAGACCTGCAGAGCCTATAGTAGGATCAGCCAGGAAGTACAGTAATTGCTGTACTAATCTCGGCATGTAAACTAACTGATTTGCAGGACATAAAAGTTTGCCTGCATGACAGTCTTCCTGAGGAATAGCCTTATCGCCTGCTGGAAACCCGTGAAGGTTATCCTTCCCAGAGTTGGGCTTTAAAACACAACCTCATTCATCTATGCATCTATATGCATTGTGCAGAAATTCATTTTTAAAGTTCACAACACAGACAGCTGTGGTTTTTTTTTTAAATCAGATCATTTTTATTGAATTTTTCTTTTTTTTTTTTAAACAGAGCAAAAAGAAATGCAGACCGGAAATAAGTACATCAGATAACAGTACAAACTTAAACAGTCTGCGCATTATATTAAAAAGGATGAGTCCAGGAAATATGACATAAAGCACAGTCAGTGAATGTGCAGGTGTCCTACAATCAAGTGCAAATTGTGAAAGCATCCTCAACAAGGTTATAGCACAGATACCATCACACTGTATTAGACAATAAACCAAAGATACTAAATATAAAGAAGTTGTGTACTGGGTCTTTATTGTTCATACCATTCAGCTTTGCCCAGACCAGGCATTTACTGAGGGTGCATGCAGGGGCGTCCCGAGGCAAGGTGTTCCCCGGTCCCTAGACCGGGTGACACCTTGCCGTGTCGTCATTGCGAGTGACGTCACCTCGCGCATGCGCAATGACGTCATTGCACATGCGCAACCGTCTAATTGATGCCTGCTGGCGGCCATCTTAGTAATGGACGCCGGCAGAGAGAAAAGTGGACGTGCATATCTCATACCGCCGGGTCCCCTCCTCTCTCCTGACACTGTCGGGCACTCGGTCCTTGACCGAGTGCCCGGCTTTCTAGAGGGGGGTGACACCAAAATTACTCAGTCATTTTGGTGTCACTCCTGCAATGGTGACGCCCGGGTGCGGGCCGCTCCCCCTTGTGACGCCACTGGGTGCATGCTACAAACTAGCCGGCCAGACAGCAGCTGTACCTATGCTGTATGAAACCTACTGAAAGCAGACTCCAGAGACTTTGTTGTTGATGAACTTTGAGAAGGAATAACTTCATATTAAAAGCAGCTAGATAGGTCGGTGATGGCTTGTTTACTGCTTGCTGGGAATATGTATATAATTCAATGTTCATAGTCTGGGCACTTCAAGGAATACAATCAGCCAAGCTCCAATTACCAATAGGGTGAAGTGTGACTCCTTTTCATCAAATACAGAAGTGGTTATGGAATGTATAGAAACATTATTACATTTCAGGGGAGACTCTCAAGGGGATAGGTCTTCCCTAAAGTGTAATCTTATTTGCTGGTGCATAATGACAGGGTAAGATTGTGGCTGCACTCTTTTTTTATATCAAACCCAAAATTATTATATATTTTCTGAAAGCAGAGATCTTGTAGAATAATACAGACACAATTTAATCTTCATTTTTCTGTTTACATGAAAGATGAGAGATAGTGTCAAGTAAATAGATACCAAATATGTTAAGCCCCAAAATTGTGTGCACCCATGAAATGGCTAAAAAGTGCAGTACCTAGAATTGTCCATAAGAAACGCTGTTACAAGTCATCAATTTGGAGTTAACAGTGAATGATGGCCCTAGAACTATTGCTCCAACTTGGACGTGGCAAAACCAAATATGTGCAGCACAGCTCTCATTTTCATGCTCATGCACACCTCTAGCTTGTATTTGGGGGATGGGGGCTTTTTGAAACGTTTTCATGTGTTCTTTTATTTAACTTAATGGCTATCACAAGGGGACTGATAAGCCCCCTATGTGATAACATACTGCAGGTTAACAGGTTCAGAGTGCAAAGGTGATGAGGGAGACATCTGTAGCTTGCGATATACTGAGCTTTGGAGGATAACGTAGACACCGGCACTCCAAGTAATGAATCAATGGCGTCTGTTTATTGACGCATTAAACATAGCACAAGCTTTTTGATACACTGTGCTATGTTTCATGCGTCAATAAACAGACGCCATTGATTCATTACTTGGAGTGTCGGTGTCTACGTTATCCTGTGATTATAGACGGTTGCCATCCGTTGACCAGGGCAGCAGCCATCTTTTATAAGGAACAGCGGTTTTGAGTGCGATGGGTTCATGGACGGTATACTGAGCTTTGGGTCACAGGAGGACGCCAGTATACACTGAGTGGCCAGATTATTATGACCACCCCATCAGTACTTCGTTGGGCCATGAGATGACTCCACGAGATGACTTTGATACAGGATACTGGTAACAGGATATGGCAACAATACTATGGCACAGGCCTCATAGCAGGGAGAGGTTAAATACTAGGGATGCACCGATACCGGTAATTCAGTATCGAGTACTAGTACCGATGGTTTTTTTTTTCGGTACTCGCCTATACCGAGTACCGGAAGTCCCATTCAGGAAGCCAGACGGCGTGTAATGGCTCACCACCTGGCTTCCTGATTAACCGGGCAGCGTGTAAAGACTCGCCACCCGGCTATGACGAGTGAGCATGGAGCGGCTTCCCGGCCAATCAGGAAGCCGGGCGCCGCATCATTACACAGTGCCCGGCTTTCTGATTGGCCGGCTCCTTGCTCATTCGTCATGAGATGACAAGGGAGCATGGAGCGGCTTCCCGGTCAATCAGAAAGCCGGCCGCCGTGTAATGACGCGGCACCCGGCTTCCTGATTGGCCGGCAAGCCGCTCCATGCTCACTCGTAACACGGCGCACGGCTTCCTGATTGGCCAGCTTCCCGACCAATCAGGAAGCCAGGCAGCGCGTCATTACACGCAGCCCAGCTTCCTGATCCTAAGATTGCGTTATATGTATGTATTTAAAATCCCAAAAATATTACCTTTTTTTGGAATGCTTATTTTATCTGCGTTGGAGTTTTCACTGCAGGGGGCAGAGATTTCCCTTGCTCGGTGATGTCAGTGCAGGAAGAACACCAAAAAAAAACTGAGCCAGCGGGTAGAGGTTAGTGAACAAGTGCATGGAGCCACTGATGTGCCCACCCAGCGCTTGTGAATAGGGTGGCGCTGCTTCCGAGGCCTGGCCTCTAGGTGGGACCAGCTATTTCCACACAGGCTAAATAGTGTTGTCTGTACATATTCTAAGACTGTAGAAAAATAGCATAATGTCACTTCTTATTTACTGAGGGATCCTGGCGAAGTAATGTTCATAATTTTTGCCTGGAGAGACAGCCTGTAGAACACCAGTTTCTTTTTGTTTTCTTTTTAAACATCATTGGTTTTGGGAACTATAGATTTTGTGTTTTATTTAGACTGGAGGCAAAGTGCAAAGCACAGTGACAGGTAGCAACCAATCAGACTTTTTTTTCTTTTTGGGTCCATTCACAACAGCAGCAACGCTACGCAGCCCGGCACAATGCTGATGCACTGACCGTGGCGCATCTCACGGTTTCCTTCTTTTTTTTTTTGTTAGAACTTTATTGAAATGCCACAAGTGACATTTCATTTAAGCTCTATGGGCACAGCACGGTGCAATGCAGTTCCGCGTCACACTGCACTGTGCTGAGAAACGTACTGCATGCCGTACTTTTCTTCAGCGCACACACCACCTCAACTGAGTGTGAACTATGCCTATCTGGAACAAGGCAAACAGCCTTGTCTTGCGTTGTTGCTGTGCTGGAAAAATGGGCAGCACACCCCTAGCGCATTGACTGTGAACGGGCCCTTACTGATCTGACGCTAATGAACGGAGAGCCAATTGGCTACTATAAGTTACTGCTCTTCTGCACTTCATCACCACTCCTCTGCATTTTCTTAATAAACGTCTGTGCATTGATACGGTGTAGGGGTTTGTATTTTTGCTGTAAATATTGCTTTGTGAAGAAATTCATGTATTACAGTTGTTAAAATAATATATATTCAATAAATTTTGTATGGTTTTGCAGCTGTTTTTTTATTGCCATGATGCCGGCTATTTAGCTGTACTTTGAATGGTGCAAACAACGATGAAAGTTTGCAGATTACAGTAGCGCACATTAGCCCGTAGAACTTCCAGAAGTCCCCTCTAGTTGTGTTCCGGTGTCCTCTGTAATGTTTACATTTCCCTGTGTAGAGTCAATAAGGCTTAGTGGTAAAACGTATGATCAATCCTGGTTATTATTATGAAATATAGGTGGGGCAGCAGGGGGTGTGGCGGGCCATTGAAGTGAATGGCACCTTAGCCACGCCCTCTGGCCGCAATGCGATTGCCTGCATGGGATCACAGGGAACATTGTGCCTCTGGTTTGGTGTGATCAAAATGCAGCAAGCACTATTTTGATCGCGCCGGACCGCAGGCACGTGAGGGCGTGGCTACGGTGCCATTAATTTCAATGGCCTGTCACGCCCCCTCCTGCCCCACAAAAAAGCGAGCCGGCCGCAATGCGAGGCAGTGCGTTCTGGCCAGAATCAGGCCGGAACGCACAGCATCTGGTGTGAACCTAGCCTTAATGCAAGACAATGCTCGGGGAGCCTGACTGAATTCTGGTGTTTACCTATGGAGTTCACTATACGCAACGAGAGGAAATAATGATGGGACTGATGCCAGACTGACACGCAGGTACCAATAGGCTCTTTGCAGCAATATAAAACAAAAAATGTGGTGTGTAAACTATGGGTGTACCGCAGTCCACACAAAGCTGATTGCCTCTGTTATCAGAAGTAAGACAGAAGCAAGGTCTGTAAATGACCTTTGTCAAGAGTCCTCACCAGATATGAGAAGGCCTTGGGTGATCTTATCAGCCCATACCTGAAATGTCTGTTTTGGGTAGACTGAGCCACTGGGCTTGCTATACTGAAGACAAATAGGGAATTTTCACTTAGCTTGGTGAACGTAGCAAAGAATGCCCAATTGCATGCAAGGAAAATAAAAAGAACAGTATTTTTGCTTGCACATGACTGAATGAGGGAAATCAGGCGAGCTTCACCACCTTCACCAACGGAAAATCCCCTTACAAAGCGAACAGCCTATTTGCCATTAATAAACCAACTCCGCTGTATTAAACGCTGCTTGGAAAATATACATCATGCTTAATGGATCTGGCAACTGCGCACATCACTGTTATCTGAAAAGGGAAGCGGCAATATCTTCTGGTGGGAATTTTTTTCAGGAAAAGCACACGCCCGTATTATGCCAGTAGTCATAATTCCCAATTTAAGATGAAAAAAAATCAGCAACACATGTAACACATTTTCTTACACACTTAAGGTGCCCATACACCTTACAACCATCGCAAGACTTTTGTCTTGCGATGGTCGTAAGGTAATTAAAAGCTCTGCCCATCTTGGACAGGCAGATCGTACTTGCGATCATCGAAAGCCCTCCCCGTCGAGGGGCAGGCTTCCGATGGCCGCAATGCTGAATGGGCAGTATGCGCACACCGGCCCGTTCCGCAGTTGTCGAACAAGCAGGCTAGAAACCCCTGGACAATCGTACGATTATCGGCGGGTTTTCTAGCATGCAGGTTCGACAAAAGACGTGCGACCGTACAGTAGAAACGGTCGCACGCCTTCCATACACCTTGCGATAATCGTACGATCGCGGGATTTCCCGCGATTATCGTACTATAATTGCACAGTGTATGGGCATCTTTACACTATATTGCCAAAAGTATTGGGACCCCCCCTCCAAATCATTGGATTCAGGTGCTCCAATCACCTCCATGGCCACATTGAGTTCATGTGCGTGTAAAGGCCGGCGTCCCAATACTTTTGACAATATAGTGTATTTACCTAAAGCCATTGACATATTGGGGTACTTGACCCAGAAGTTCCGACTTCACTTGCTCCATGCTTCTGGTTCAGACACTCAGAAATGAAAGCTATAGACAGCCAGACAAGAAGTGTGATCAATGCAGTACACATATTTCTCTCAGGATGGGTGGGACACATGAGAAATGCTGCATGTCCTTATAACTGGCATCAACCCTAGGGCGAGTTCAGCCATGATTCACACCGGAGCATTTTGTAGCTTGAAGCTCAAAGCTCCAAAACGCTTAAAAACCAAACTCCCATGCTTCTAAATGGTGTCTGTTCACTTATGAGGGCTCATACAACTTTAGTTTGATGGCTCATGATTAAAAGTACACAAGCTACCTTTCAAGGAGAATGGGAATCTTTTTGGCCCCATAGACCTCAATGGGAACTCCTGTACATGCGGTTTTTTTTGAGCCTGGTAAGAAGAACTGCTCTCCTGCTTGCAAGTCCAGCTCTGGTCTTCCAGGGTCGCCCCTGGAAAAGCATTTTGTCCCCATAAACATTCTTTAGCCGATTATGGGCTTCCATAGGTGCGCAACCCTCTTTCGCCAGAAATTCAATCACAGCTCGTTGTTTTAGCCGCAGATCCATGCTTCTAATCACTCAATCTAAAAAAGAAAAGCATCCATTAGTGGGGTAAGGACACCTCTATAACATGGGACATGAACATATACAGTCACCCTAATAGGTCTCAAATTACAGACATGGAGACATTATTTTATTACAGGTATTTATAGAATGCTGACAATTTACGCAGCACTTTATATAGTTGCACATTCACATCAGTCCCTACTCTCAAGGAGCTTACAATCTAAAGGTGGCCATACACTTTACAGTAAAGTGATTAAAAAAACGTACGATCTGCCCATCTTGGACAGGCAGATCGTACTTGCAATCATCGCAAGCCCGCCCCCCTGAGGGGCGGGCTTCCGATGACCGCAATGCTGAACGGGCAGTTTTTCTAACATGCTGGTTTTCTAACATGCTCCTTAGACAAAAGACGTGCGACCGTACAGTAGAAACGGCCGCACGCCTTCATTCACACTGCGTGGGATTTCCCGCGATTCTCGTACGAGAATCGTGCAGTGAATGGGCACCTTTAGGTCCCTATCTCACATGCATACAGGGACAATTTTTAGACAGGAGCCAATTAACCTACCCGCATGTCTTTGGAGTGTGGGAGGAAACGGGAGTACCCGGAGGAAACCCACGCAAGCCCAGGGAGAACATGCAAACTCCTTGCAGTAGGTGACCTGGCTGGGATTCGAACCAGAGACCTCAATGGGAACTCCTGTGCATGCATTTTTTTTGAGCCTGGTAAGAACTGCTCTCCTGCTTGCAAGTCCAGCTCTGGTCTAACCACTACGCCACTGTGCTGCCCATTACTTTTTTGATTGACCCTCAGATCTCTGTAGCATTAGGGAATAATACTCCATTATCTAGCTTTCCTTTGTCTAAAACCAAAAAGTCTGAATACAGATTCAAAAATGTAAAACCTATCAGAATATGCTTCAAAACATGCGTTTATTCGTCCAAAAATGTGCCATGAAAACCGTTTAGAACTGGCAGCTCGGGTGTGAATCCAGCTGTTGTTAATACGCGTGTTAGTGTTCCTGAATCAAGACAGGCCGTTCATTTAATATAGGCTGCCAATGCACCATAATACAGGTTTAATGTTTAACGCATCACATGGTAAAGATGGTTGACATTTTTGCAACGTAGTACACTGAAATGCACGAGTGTTGTGGTGCACGAGTGTTGAGAGATATGTGCACTTTGACAAAGCACAGATGTTATTCCACCCCAAGGCTTGTGTACATAGTTAGTTGTTTGCTTTTCCTCCCCATACAAGTGAATTAAAAAGCAAAATCAGCACGGAAGAGCTCAAAGAAACACAAGAGCATCTGAAACACAAGTGAGGCCGGCCAGACATTGCCTGAATCTTGACCAACAAGACTTTCAAGCAGATAATTCAGCCGTGGGTGACCCTACTGGCACCTCTACAGTCCACAAATCAATTTTTTCAATTGACTTGTCAAACCAGCCAAAAATGTTCAGCTGCAGTCGCTGTTCGTGCATTCTGACAATGGTGCATGCACTATTGTGTGCCTGCGTTCTGGGTGGGGGCGATTGCACTGCAGGTGGGGGGGCGCGGCTATGGTGCCATTGACTTCAATGCACCGCCACGCCCCCCTCCCGCCCCTAAACGCAGGGAGGCGGCCGGCTTGCGTTCCAGAGGCCGGACACACTGGAACGCGGAGTTTGTGGTGTGAACCGGCCCTTATAAGACCAAACATTAGGTCTAAGGGCGCGGATGCACACCTATGCGACACCCCACTCCGCGGCAATCGTGCACGATTCCCCGCGGATTGCCACATGGTCAGGAGTCGTATAGGTGTGCACCGATCGCGCTGTGGGTGCCATTATTTTCCAATGGCAACCCAGTAGCGCCTGGCGGGTCGCGCGGTTTCCCACTACTATTACGCCCATGCTTCTGAACACGATCGCAGCTAAAACAGCCGCGCGTCGTGTATCGCAGAAAAAAGGTACTTGTACATGCACGATTGCTGCGCGGTGGGGTGTCGCATAGGTGTGCACCGGCCCTTAGGGCTTGTTCACACAATTTTCTGGTCCAGATCTGGAGACGAGGTGCTATGCACGCAGTGCGTATTTGGTGTGTTCCAGTTTTGTTTTTTTGGGTTGGAGTGGGGCTGTAAGTATGTTAGCTGCAGTGCAGTGCGTTTTCGGCGTGTTTTCGTTGCCTTTTTGACGCGTTCGTGCATTTCCAGACCGTTTCCGGACTGGACAAAATGTGACATGCAGTATTTTTTCTGTCTGGACCGGAACGGACTGCGCTCATGAGAACTGTAGCCCATAAAACACATAAGGATACATTGGGATGCATTTTGGGTGCATGAGCGCACGGATCTGGTCCGGACAGAATCCGGATGTCGTGTGAACAAGCACTTAAATGGGGACAAGTTTGGAGAGAAGGACCTGGATACAAAATGGTCTGTCCTCCAGTAAAATCCTGCTACCACAATGTCGAGTTTATGGGGGTTGATTTTTTTACAGGTAAATAGGCTGTTGCAAGGGAATTTGCACATTGCAGGCAAAGTTTCCCTTAGCTCGGTGAACGTGACGATATTTCGCTTTGCAAAAAATAGCCAATCATGCGCAAGGAACATTCAAAAAGACAGTATTTTTGCTTGCACGCGATTGGATGATGGAAATCAGCAGACCTTTACCTCATTCACTAAAGCTAAGGGGAAACTTTCCCTGCAAAGTGCAAATTCCCTTGCAAAGTGAACAGACTTTTTTTGCCTTTAGTAAATCAACCCCCAATGTGTCACATTGCACATCCTCCAAACCTGTCAGACCGACATCTGAAGAATGAATGACCTTTCACCCCTATAGGTAAAGCAGGTTTCAGTTTTCATTCAGTGCTTGCATCTGGCAGCAAATGTGTTAAAAGGCTTTTGTGTTTAGGGAGCAGCGGCACCTCCCTAAAGCTAGCAGCAGCCCACTCCTCCTCTCACATGTTCAGGAACCAGGAACTCTGTTACTCAGCATGAGATGTTCCACTTATTCTGACTACAGGAACTGTCCTGTACAAACTTTCTTCACTCCCTGGACACACAAACAAGGTATGTAGTGCAATGTATATGGCACAGAGCGCAATATCTCTGAAACTCTTTGTCATTTGCATTGCTCTGGGTTTTTTTTTCTCCTAGCTAATAACATACCGAGTAAAAGGCTATCCACTAGGGTTGCCACCTGTCCAGGATTCACCCGGACAGACCGGGTTTTGAATGCTGTGTCCGGGTTTCATGGCAGCAGAAACCCGGACACAAGATGTCAGGCAGACGGGGGCAACCAAAATTAGGATGGGCTACTGGCCCCCTACTGAAAATAGTCTCCACTGTGATACTTGCATGAATGGGTGGCGCTAGTTCTGGCCAAAATCGGGCCGGAACGCACTGCATCTAGTGTGACTGAGCCCTTAGGCTCGGTTCACACCTGGGCGTATTACAGGCGTATGAATGCGCTACAAAATGTCCTACGTCCAAATAAGTACAGGAGCTTCTTTGGGGCGTTTTTGTCGTGAGGTTTCCATTAGGATACAGCCAAGTAGCTTTTTTTTTTACCGCGAATCGCGCGACACGCGCATATTCGATACGCCTAGGTGTGAACCCAGCCTAAGGCCTTGTTCACACCAAGCGCGGAGCAGATCCAGAGCAGAACAGGTGCAGACCGGATCAAAACTGCGTCCAATGTATTCGTATGGTATTTTGACCGCCAGTTCACATCGCAGCGTGCAGATCCAGAGCAGGTGAAAAAACTGCGGTAAGCCCTATTTTATCTGCTCTGGAACGCATCAAAAACGCATGCAAGTGCCTGAAAGCCCATGTTAAACTTAAAAAAAAACAACATTTTTGGTTTTTACCAAAACCGGCCCGGAACGCATCAAAAACGCAGCACAACCCACTGCACTGCGTGTGCAGAAACCTGACCGGATCTGCTCTGCATTTGGTGTGAACAAGGCCTAAAGGACAAGTATCTAATACTTCTGATCTCTGCAGTTTCAGATGCCAGTCTGGGAGATCTGGTATATGACCAATGCAGACAAGTCAGCAGGTTGCATGAACCTGTATGCTTATTTGATATGTGCGTGTATTTTTATGTGTTGGATGGGAAGGTTTGTGACACTCCGATCACGTAGTAATATTTGACTATGTGGATCGCTTTTTTTATCTGCAGAGGGAAAACTTTACATTTGTTAAAATAATAATAATAATAATAATAATACAGCATATAAAATTGTGACGCACGCCGATTGATAACTTAAAAATTAGCTTTCCATTTCAATCTGAAGCCGCTTTAAAAAAAAAGCTGTTCTGAAAATGCAATATGGCACCTTGGAGGCGTTCTATACACCACTGGTGTACCCAACTCCCCCACAAATGTCATTCCTTGCTTGTGATTGGCTCCTAGATTTCCCCAGAAGTCTGCACTAAGTAACTATTTCTGCATCCCTGCAATAGAAATAGTTTTGCTGATATACTTTCTAAGGGCAGATTCACACTGTTTTCTGGACCAGATCTGGAACGCAGTGCATTGTGTTTTTGCTGTGTTTAGATTTATTTTGCTTAAAATGGTCTTACAGGTCGTTTGTATGCGTTTTTGATGCGTTCCAGTGCATTCCAGACCAGACAAAATAGGACAAGCAGTATTTGTCTGGTCTGGAACGGACTGTGCTGGTGTGAACAGAGGCCAGGAATAGCATAGGGATACATTGGGATGCTCTTTGGGTCCGGAAACAATCTGGTCTGGAGATGATCCGGACATGGTGTTAATGGGCCCTAAGCCCTCATTCACACGGGTAAAGGCCGGCGTGTACAGCTCCGTACTGCGTGCACGGCCGTATCGGGCAGCTCCATACTAACCACACGCAACACCTGTCCTTCCCGGGAGCTGCCCGATACGGTTACAGTGTAAATGAGGCCTAAGGGTTAACTACTTCTACACGGATGCAGATGATACAGCTTTCCTCACTAGATCACTAGAACGCTGAGAATGCACCAGGTGGTTATAACGAACCCTCCCATTCCGGAATGGACATGGCCAAACAAACAGCTTTTTCTTTATAACAGAGGAAGGTAGGAATCTGCAACAAAGTTTGTTAAACTCCTTCCATTGTACATTGATTAACCAGAGGGGGTTGTTTTTTGCTCAACAAAAGTAAACCAAAACTATGTTTATATTTACTGTCCTGTCTAGATAGGACCAGGCGTTTTGGCGCTTGTGTCTGGACTGTTTTGTCTGTGTGTGTAATCTGTAAGTTCTGTTGTTTACTTTGTGCTTGCAGCATGATCAGACACCAAACACTAGTCACCTATTCTGCGCTGAGCCGTCTGACGTCTATTGCTGATAGGCAGGAAATTGTACACGTCACACAGTATGGTCGAGTGTTTATTCATTTCTTTTCTATAGTTCTTCCTCCCAAATCTAAAATGCGACTGGAGCATTAGAGACATCCGGCGCCAGGATTTGCTTCACTTTTATCGGAGATAAATTGTGACTGTCAAGGTGGCCATTGTTATGAAATGTTTGCCACCAGATGCCAGTCATGGTCAGGATACAAAATGATTGCTTGTCGAGCAGCTTTCTGCAACCTATAAAGACACCGCCCTGGCTGACCCGAGGTTGGGGGAGAATCAAACAAGGTGGAATTTTCCAGCCAATTCCTATTGTTGCCAGTGATAAAGTTGGCACCAGGGGGCTTAATGAGCATGCTCGGTTGATACAAGCAGACAAATATTACCACAATGATCAGTGAGAATGAGCTTTTGCTTGCCACCTATTTATTGATACATTATAGCATGGTATATAAGATGAGCCAATTTTTTTTATTTTATTAAAGGGATTAGGTAGGTTAAGGTGAACCAGTGACGCAAGGACTATTAACCACTTCAGGACTTTTTCTAACTAAAGATTGGACCCACGAACACAAAGACGTTCCAAGAGATTGAATGGGGTAAGAACAGTCACTGAACATATGCACATTGCAATTCAGACGGATAATACAAGACATTTTCCATGTTAAGCAGTGTGTGTATATATATATATATATATATATATATGTCAGTCACTCATCGTTGGAGAAACAGACCTCGTACGCATGGGGCTGACGTTGCTTATTCTTTCCCTCTCCTGCTAGGTATTCTGCGTAGGAATTTCACCTGATGTGTTTTTCTACCTGACATTGGGAAATGTTCTCAAGACAACATATCAAAATTCTTTTAATTGGAAATGCGGGGTAAGTCTTTTTTTATTTATTGTGCAATGCACATTGTAGTCTTTTGTGATGTAGAAAAGCAGTCACGCTGATCATGGTGGGCGAGTTATTAAAACTGAAGGAAGGAAAGTCTGCATTGTGCCCAGCAAACACTCAGCCTAACCTTGTGTATGTAACAAACCTGGGAACCGATTGCTATGAGCAACACCTTTTTCTATTCTCAGGTTTTCGGGTTCAGTATCATCGAGATCTGTAGACTACTGATCTATCATTGGAAAAATTTCAGTCATAAATAGCAATGATTCTTCAAAACAGATTGGATGTTATTAGAGTTGTCATCTATAACTTTTTTTGCCTCAGCCTTCACAATTTTTGGGGAACAACAAAAATCATCCTTGCCCAGTTATTTCTTATAAAGCAAAAATTTGTAAGTGATAAAAGTATGTCTAAAGCCAAAGCTTTTTTCCATTTCGGATAGAGTAGGGAATGGTTAGCCTTACCATGTGTCCTATTGGGGTGCTCTTGCTTCTCTGGTAGTGTCAAAATTGAAAGTTACATTTGTATCCACAGGACATTAAAGGGAATGTAAAGTATATTTTTAGTAAACAAATATTTTTATGTAATTATCCTAAAGTAATTTTTTATGTGAATTTTTCAAATTCTTGAACTTTTAAATATATACAGGGTTATTCACAAAAGGGTGACGAGATTGGAGAAGGCAGGAGAGGAAGGCAGGAGAGGAAGGCAGGAGAGGAAGGCAGGAGAGGAAGGCAGGAGAGGAAGGCAGGAGAGGAAGGCAGGAGAGGAAGGCAGGAGAGGAAGGCAAGAGAAGGGAGCAATCTAGGACAACATAGCTGATTTGGAAACATTCTCCAATTCAGCTCACTTTCCGGTTCAGCTATGTTGTCCGAGATTGTTCACTTCTCCTGCCTTCTCCAAACTCTTCACCCTTTTTGTGAATAGACCTGTAAGTGTTGAGATTTTTAAATCGGGTTCTAGAAGCAGATATATACAGGGTTATTCACAAAAGGGTGACGAGATTGGAGAAGGCAGGAGAGGAAGGCAGGAGAGGAAGGCAGGAGAGGAAGGCAGGAGAGGAAGGCAGGAGAGGAAGGCAAGAGAAGTGAGCAATCTAGGACAACATAGCTGATTTGGAAACATTCTCCAATTCAGCTCACTTTCCGGTTCAGCTATGTTGTCCGAGATTGTTCACTTCTCCTGCCTTCTCCAAACTCTTCACCCTTTTTGTGAATAGACCTGTAAGTGTTGAGATTTTTAAATCGGGTTCTAGAAGCAGGATAGATTAGCTACTACAATGACTCGGACTTAAGTTAGCCATAAACCCCCAAAGTTTTCCCATTCAGCCCTGCGGTCTGAACAAGAAAAATTACTTGATTCCCCCATGGACTCTTACCTGCCAGCTATTGCTGCAGTCACTGTTTGAGGCGAGGTTCACACCAGATGCAGTGCGTTCCGTCCCGATTCTGGCCGGAACGCACTGCCTCGCTTTGCGGTCGGCTCTCTTTTTCGCGGGGCTCTTTCCTCTCTTCATTGTGCCTGCGGTCCGGTGCGATCAAAATAGTGCTTGCGGCCGGAGGGCGTGGCTACGGTACCATGTACTTCAATGGCCCGCCACACCACCTCCTGCCCCGTGAAAAAGTGAGCTGGCTGCTATGCGATGCAGTGCGTTCTGGCCAGAATCGTGTTGGGACGCGCTGCATCTGGTGTGAACCTAGCCTGACCGACAATTTTCCAACCAGCTACTTAAAAAAAAAAAAACCAGTTCAAAAATTGACTTTTACCGAGCTACATGGTGCCGGCAAGGCCACCCATGGAGATGGATTTTCTGCCAATTCAGCAGGAAGCGGAGAAAATTTGATCCGCATAGGGCCAGCCTATCTTACAGCTGTTTTTAGATAAGTTATAAGCCATGCAGAGAATGCGTTGTTTATGAATAGTTGGCCAACCTTTTAAATATGTATTGAAAGAAGGAGACGTAAAGCAGAAGCGATGAAGCTGAGCTCGTGTATGTAACCTACCTGCGCACTGTAACAAAGAGAACCATTGGCACTCTGGGTCATGTGACCTAATTTAGCAGACCTTCATTTTCAGTTTAGATCCACTTTTTAAGTTACCCATACCTGAATATCTAAAGATTAGTTCATTTTAGATCTCATGACTGCCCCTCCATAAGAAAGATCTGTTCGGATGTGATTGAAAAGCAGCTCATATGGCTTCTATAGGAGCAGATTGCTCTCAGAGTATTGAGAAGAAAGACCATCTACAATTCTACATACACTGTACCCATGGAAGGGTAATAATACCTTTTTATGAGGATTTTGCAAGCCGTCTATTGCTTCTGATCTTATAATCGGTGTTTACCCTCCACCTCACATGACTGGCGGAATGTGAAGAATTTACTAGTTCTAGTCAAGTAGAGAATTAAGTACGTCTTCTTTGTGCCCACATTGAATATCTAATTAAAATTCTGTGGCTTGCAGAGTGGGAAAGTCGGCGCTGATGAACCAGTATGTCAACAGTCGTTTCACCAACTACTACAGAGCCACCATAGGGGCAGACTTCTTCACCAAGGAGCTACGATTAGATGACAGAATGGTGACGGCACAGGTAAAGAATAACCATAGTGCACATCTACTTGTGACCATGTACTGATGGAGGATCTTGTCCAATGAGAATGACTCTGGGGACCTCATAATGTAAATTAACATTATGGGCTTATTTAGCCAGGCAGATGCCATTCACACGGCACGGGCACCCCTAGCTGGCAATGATGGATATAGGAATTACAACTTTTATAAATTAAGCCCTAAGTGTGCAGAAGGTATCTGTAAAAGATAATATGAGAACACAGAAATCAGATGAAAGTCACGGGAAGTTACAAATATTGACAATTCCCCATAGCTCCCCAGAGTTGCTGTCTCCTGAATACTTCTCACTTAGACAGGATTCAGACAGGACTCTGCCGCCTTTCGTGGGGTGAGGATGCCACCCTGTGCCCTCTTTCCCATCTCCTACCCTCCTTCTGTCAACATATTCACTACCCTAACCCTCAGTGAACATGTTTTGTCACTTGCCATCTCGGTGCTTACACAGTGTCCTGGTTCAGTTGGCGTTGTGAGGATGCGACCACACCTGACACCTCTGTTCTAGTAACTTAATGTTCTTTGTATGTCCACTTGTGTGCGTTGCCCTGCCAATATTGTATCTATATTACTGTCAGACCCTTGTGGGAACGAGCCGATTCTGCATGCATTTTGAAAAAACCTTTTAAATAGAGAATTTATTTTAAAAAAAGAATAAGCTGTAGAGCTTCAATGGGGCCAGTACCTCTTCATAAAGGTCCGTCTCATTTGAATTATATTTCATTCTGAGCAGTATAACATTTTATGGGTTGACTCTTTGAGGTGTGAATGGGCAGCCTCTGTGAAGCCAATTGTTGGAAATTGGCAGGAGACTACATGGTTTAAAAAAAAAAAAAAATACATTTTCAAATATGAAATATACATATAAACATATAAATACTGATATATCCCTACATATAATCATATACACACGTCCAAACAAACATTTACGTAGTATTTTCCTTCCTGCTTATTGCATAAGCTTTATCTATGAGGAATCACTCTCATCTCTCAATATTAACACACCATAGGCAGGCATCTACTCAACTATAATAGTTATTCTATTCCATATTATTCAAACCTATCCCGCTCCTTTCCATACGATCTGCCACTTAGGGGTTGTAGAAAAAAAAAGAAAGAAGAAAGGGAGACACTTGGCCGGGTGAGGCCGGAGGTTTAATTATTTATTTACATTCCTCTCTCCCAATGTATAGTGTCCCCCCCTTTCTATTCCTTAAGTGTTCCAGTGCTCTCCCACTCCCCTTCCTTGCCCTCCCATATATTCCTCCCCCTTAAACCCTAAGGGCTCGTTCACACCATAAGCAGTGCGTTCCTGTCCAATTCTGGCCGGTAACGCACTGCCTTGCATTGAGGCCGGCTCACTTTTTTGCCAGGCAGGAGGGGGCGTGGAGGGCCCGTAACAATAGGATTCTAACTTTTATTCTCTATCATTTTCTAGAACCAGTTTGAATTTGGTTTTGGATTTGGAGTAATACAGAAAACTTGTTTTAGACCTGTGTCTTTTTTCTGTGCAGATTTGGGATACAGCCGGCACAGAACGCTTTCAGTCTCTGGGCGCAGCACTTTACAGGGGCACAGACTGTTGTTTGCTGGTCTTTGATGTGACGTCTCCTAATTCCTTCCACGCTCTTGACACCTGGCATAAAGAATTCCTGGTACAAGCTGATCCTTCATCTCCAGACAAATTTCCCTTTGTGGTGATTGCCAACAAGGCAGATCTCGAGGAACGTCAGGTCAGTGCATTGTTTTCTACTGCACCCGACGCATCACTGTGCAAACAAACCTCTTCTTGCTTTTCTCTGCTGTGTTTGATCATATTTACTATGAATCTAGCGGGATAAAACTATAACGCACTGTGATATGAAGGGGAATCTGTGTGGGAAGAAATAGGAGAGCCGCCGCTGCTGACTTTTTCAGTCACTGATTATTTAGAACTATAAATAAAACCCTACAGATGGCAGCAAAAACTCTCTCTCGGGCATTAATGTGCCTGCGTTCTGGGTGCGGGCGCTCGTACTGCGGGCGGGGTGTGTGACTGGTGCCATGTGGACTACAATGCACCGCCATGCCCCCTCCCGCCCCTGAACGCAGGGAGCCGGCTTGCGTTCCACATGCCCGGAAACACAGGTCAATTTTGTGGTAAAATGTGTCCTTAGAGCTAGCGACACCCAGTCTGGCAACTATTATATCAAGTATAAAAGATACACCCGCTCTGTCCATTGGTTCTTGGTTGTGGGTGGATAGTGACCTTCCCTTTGTGCACATTAGGATTAGACCTGCTGGATTTGCACTCACACCATCTGCTGGTCGTGCCTCTGCCCTGCAGCATGGTCACACTGTAAGCTCCACACCTGGCTTCAATCAGTAGGCTTTCAAGTGAGGTCAGTGCTTTTAGGCCTATACTTGATCAAAGGTATTTGTGGTGTGTCTCACTACTCTGTATTTCTGATTTGCTTTTGCTTATAACTCCGACTTCCCCCAGATGTTGCTGCTGCTTGCGCTGCCTTTTTTTCAGATTTCATCTACCTATCTGACTTTTTAATTTTACCTCACAATTTAGTACTACACCTTGGCTCCACCTGCAATCAGCTGCCACCATGTGAGCTTCCTGAGTGTTGGGATCTGATATGTTAATTGTGCAACATCTGCACACTAAGGCTTGGGCGAAGACCTGATGACCAAAGTTATGCCACAGCAAGAGTTCCATGTCACATGCTGGTGACAAAGAGGGTCCACAGTACCCTATGACATAATGTCTGAATTCTTTTGGGCAACCCAGAGGCACCAGATAACAGTCTGCTGATCTACGCATTGTTTTGTAATCAGCTCTTCATGATTGGAATTGCCACAAAGAGTACATGACCGGTGTACATGGCAACAGCAACCTTTGCAATCCTTAAAGGAGAACTATGGGGTTAGGGCTTTTCCCCATAGTTCTCCTTAAGGTGGCCATACACTCTACAACCATAATCGCCTCATAGTTCTCTAATAATTCAGTGATGGATATGTGTTATCTTCTTATGCACTCAGATTTACCTTAGTTTCCTCCCACATAGAGCCCCTTTCCACCCCCAGGCCCCACACCAGCCGGGTGGGCCCCTCCATGTGTGCATAGTTAACCGAGAGAACTAAACGATCACCTGAAGTTTCCATATTGGGCTAATGCTCCTGTGCCGTCATGCCAACAGATTTTTAGTGCCTTAAACGAACAATCTGCCAACAAGGACTCGGTTGTATTGTACAGTGCTGGTGACCTTGCACTTGGAATTATCTTACAGAAGGGGAGAACACAAGCACAACATATTCCTTGTGATGGCCCTGATCCTTCATTGACCAAATAACACCGGAGTCAAGGAGGTTCCCATTAGGGTCGCCACCTTTTCTTCCAGCAAAACCCGAACACTCTAGCAACGCACGGAAATTTTTGGGGGAGAATGAGTTGCTGCTTATTCATATGTAAATAGCGCCGCCAATTCATATGTAAATATCACAGTTGCGACTATTTTCAGTGGGGGGCCAGTAGCGCATATCTTAATTTTGGTTGCCCCTTTCTGCCTGACATCCGGTTTAAGCTGCCATGAAACCCGGACACCGCATTCAAAACCCGGACTGTCCGGGTGAATCCTGGACAGGTGGCTACCCTCGTTCCCATGCAGTACAGTTTATCTGTAATTTGCTGTATTTTATTACAGGTTACTCCTCGTCAGGCACAGGAGTGGTGCAAGTCGTGTAATGCAGAATACTTTGAAACCAGTGCAAAGGAAGCAATGAACGTAGAGGAAGCATTTTTGGAAGCCATCAGACTAGCCATCAAGCATGTATGTATAGATAATTGTGAAAGTCCATTGTTCTGTATTACAATTTATGGGGTAAGTGTACCTTTTGTGATATGGCTAAAAAGTGATTTATCTTGTTTATCCTATCTGGTTGTTTAAAAGGCCTAATACATACATACATTTGTAATGCCTATGCAACACATGTAGTATCATGAAGTGAGCACAAAGAGCAGTGAGGGGAGTAGGTGGTGAAAAGCTGCAGCAAGAAGGTAACTCCTGCCACTCAACCAAACCAGCCTCAGAGGTTTAGAGATACATTGAGGTCTTCTTGGGGATTTTTACCACTTGTTGGCTGCTGTATCAATGCAGTGCCCTAGTGAGACTTTACAGGCAAAATATCCTCAATCGCAGTCCAGTGGTCAGACCTTTAACCCCCACAGAGACATACTTGCAACCCCGCCTTGGAAAAGTGCACTTGCTCTTAAAGGAGAACTATGAGGTGAGTGCTTTTCACTCACCTCATAGTTCTAGCCAACCTGTGACAATGAGACTGTCACAGGTCGGCTCAGTAGATCGGGAGGTGAGCGAATACATACTGGCGTTCGCTCACCTCTCGATGCTAGCCGTGACAGGGGAGGGGCTGGATCCCACGCTCCGATCCTCTAGCGCGGACTGGTGGAACGGGAGGGGGCGGGTACAGCTGGCTCTGCGTCTAGATAGGCAGAGCCAGCTGTCACTCACGCAGCTGGGCGGATCTCGACATCGATGTTGGGATCCGCTCTGGCGTCTCAGTATACCGCGAGCTGTAGCTCACGGTATACTGAGCTTAGGGTGACGGGAGGAGTGACCTATATCCCACTAGTGGTCAGAGAAGGTAATTACAAGACATTGGAGACATACAGCTGCATTTCTTATTTCCGTTCTTTTCCTTAACAGCATGACGTTCCGATCCAAAAGGCCAACGGAGAATCTGTGACTTTGTTAGAAAAGGAAGAAAATCCACGCAAAAATAAATGTGACTGTTAATCTGAGAAGTGCCTCCTCCCTGACTTTATACACGAAGAAGCTTTTTTTTCCCATTTATCAAAAACTATAACCAAACCTGCGATCTCGGCAAACTTACGCGGGATTCGAAGATAACCAGAATCTTCGTAATGCAACACAAGAATCGATATTGTTGCATGGACAATACAGACCTTCGCCTTCAGTGACACAAAATGAAATTCATATTCTCCCCATTAATATATTTTTGGATTTTTTGAGGATTACTGCTTAAATAACGCCTACGATGTTATCTGGACTGCAACCAAGTCTTAGCAATAAAGACAGTCTTCTTTAGTATATCTGATTTACATGCTGCTTTTTTAGTGTAAACTCCCACAAATGTTTAGAATATGCAATTTATACTATCGCAACAAATGTTTTACTTATTAATTTGTAGTATTGTTTTTGCATATTGTTATTATTATCATTCTTGGGATTGTTTTGGTGCTTATAGAAGGTATGTCTCTTATATTTACTTTTTCACTTGAATTTGCACATATATAATATTTTTTTGTGAATATTTAGTGCTGTGCGTGGAATATAGTTTTAATAATAACATGTAGAATGTAATTGTCTACATGAGATTTTATCACAGTGCTCAAATCTCTGGTGGTCTAAAAGGTTGCGACACACTGCACACGTAGCAACAGCACACAGCCTTCACATGCAGTGTGTCATGTCATGCCTCTTTATGGAGACATCAGTGGTCTCCAAGACCCCAAATGTCACCTAGGGACCCCCCTAGGTCTCTAATCTCAGAGAGCTGCTTCATCAGCTTTTGAAGCTGGCGAGTGAAACAAGAATGTGGAAGTGATGTAATATACATCACTTCCGCATTCTGACAGCGGAGAGGGGACCTGAGGTAGATCGTGTACCGACCTCCCTCTAATCCCCCGTCAGAGAGCCACCATGCTGGTCCCGGGCCCGCACCAGGCACAGCGGGATACCGGGAGGGGGGAGCAGCGTGGGGGGTTTGGGGGGATCCCTCCGTCATTCTGCAGGCAAGAGATGTCTGAGATATAAATACTACAAAATGCGCAGAGCTAAAAAGGAACTAAACTTACTTACTCAAATACACCCAATAATACAAAACTATAGTGATTGGATTAGCTCTGCGCTACCTACTCATACAAACACCAATGTGAATGAAATACTAAAGCAACGTATTAAATCCACAAACTGTATTAGTTCAATGCTAACACAGAAATCTCCATAGTGCAATAGTCCAATGATGTCCATGGTGCACCCTCTAGTGGACTAGAAGAATGAAAGTCCAAGGTAATGTGACAGTATAACTCAGAGCGCCCTCTGGTGGACTCCAACATTAAAGATCGAAAACCTCACAAGCTATGAGAACTTCTTTATAACCATTCAGTGCTCTGTGACCAAGAATGGCGCTCACTTTGTTCTGTGGACCTAAACTAACATACACTATATTGCCAAAAGTATTGGGACACCCCTTCAAATCATTGGAATGAGCGAGTTTGGGGTGGAGGAACGTGACTGGCCTGACCTCAACCCAATAGAACCCCTTTGGGATGAATTAGAGCGGAGACTGTGAGCCCGGCCTTCTCCTCCAACATCAGTACCTGACCTCACAAATGGTCCAACATTCCCATAGACACACTCCTAAACCTTGTGGACACCTTCCCAGAAGAGTTGAAGCTGTTATAGCGGCAAAGGGCGGAGCCAACCCAATACTGAACCCTGCGGATTAAGACTGGGATACCATAAAATGTCATGTGCGTGTAAAGGCATCCCGATACTTTTGGCAATATAGTCTATGTATTGTACTTTATTACTATTTAGTTTATTTAAAAAAAAATTGTTGGCCATATTATAAAAAATAATTACATATAAAATTATTTTTATATATGCATAAGCTACATATTAAATAATTATTTTTTTATAATTTGATTAACAATTTAGTATCACATTTATGGTGATACAAAGTGATTGAGTAGAAGTATTTATCAAATAATATCCTTATCCAATAGGCCTTGAACTGTCAAAAAAAAAAAAAAGTTTTTCTGACGTTGCTGATACTCGGGATGTAAAGAACTGAGGAGCAGGAGGAAGATTAAACTATCTTTTAATGGCTGTAAATCACCTCTTGAACCCAGACATCCAAAATGTAATCTTTCCAAACCTCTGCAAAAAAAACAAACCTCCAGACGTTTTTATTCAAAGAAGCATGTCAGGAGTGTTGAAGAGCCAACGTTTCGGAACCACGCCGGGTCCCTTTATCAGGGCAACCATGGTGACCATGAAGGGACGCTGCTTGGTTTCCGAAAAACATTGGCTCTTCACTCGTGACATGCTTCTTTGAATAAAAACACTTGGATTTATCTTATCTTTTGAGTGCTGGTGATCTTCATTGCTTAAAGGTTAGTTCCCACCATATGCAGTGCGCTCCGGTCCGATTCTGGCCGGAACACACTGCCTCGCATTGCGGCCGGCTCACTTTTTTGCCGGGCTGGAGGGGGCGTGGCGAGCCATTGAAGTGAATGGCACCTTAGCCACACCCTCCGGCCGCAATTACCGCACGGGATCGCAGGGCACATTGTGCCTGCGGTCCAGTGCGCTGAAAATAGTGCTTGCAGCATTTTGATCGCACCGCAGGCACAATGTGCCTTGCGATCCCATTGCAGCCGGAGGGCGTGGCTAAGGTGCCACCCACGTCAATGGCCCACCACGCACCCCTCCAGCCCGGCAAAAAAGTGAGCCGGCCACAATGCGAGGCAGTGCGTTCCGGCCAGAACACACTGCATATGGTGTGAACTAACCCTTAGTCATCTGATCCACACATTCACTAAAATCCAGAGGAACTCCAGCAGTCGTCAGATCCGTCCAAGTGGCTAAATCCTGGGATATGAAACCAGTAGTTTTATAAATGGTTGAAAAGCTGAACCAGTTGAATCACTGGAGAACCTTTCCCGGACCAGTTATTTCTTATCAGTAGGATCATTAAAGCAGAACTCCAGGCAAAAGTGTTAACCCTTGCAGTGGGGCTACTCCCACACTGCAGGGGCTAGGAGCTTGTTCTGGTCTACATGCTAAAACCCCCCCTCCCCCAGCTGTACTCTGGTAGACATTGGCCTCCAGTGATAACCCTGATAAAGGTCAAGAATAGGTCTGAAGAGATGTCATTCCTCAAAGGCCAAGCAGGTCAGGGGCTTCTTAGATGCAGTGTCCCCATCCCAGCCCTTGTAGCCTGAGCACGCTGCATTTGAATTAAACCCATGCAAGAGACAAGCAGAGATGCTTCCAGCAGGCCATCACAGCTGGAATACAAAGCCCCAGACATCTGTTCCGCAAAATCAATCATGGAAGAGATCCACTGACATGGTGGTGAGATACTTTGAGGGATTTAGCCAATTCTGTCGCAGTTTAAGGTCAGTCAGAATAGGGCAAAGGGTAGGACCCGCCAGCGATCACTTTTTAATTCTAACCATAAGTCCGTAGAGCCCTTAAATGTGAGGAACTCCTCTACTGACCTAATGGTTTCCCTGTTAAAAAGTAGGTCACCTGCAGATCCAATGTGAGCACAGACCATTTCAAAAGCAAAATCCTTCCCAAAAGGGAACAAATGCAGTGTACGCTCTGGGGCCTGCAGGACCCAAAAGGGTGCTCCCAAACCCTACAGAATACCTCAAAGAGAGGTATTAATGAGAAGGTTGTTGCAGCTGTAGGAGCGCTAAAGACCCGAGACTAGAGATAACTGGCTGATCGCTCCTGGTGCTCAACCCGATTGGCCTACTCGCAGAGCGAGTCTTCGGAGACAGGGCAAGTTCTGAGGCAGCAACAGTGGTTCTGGACCTGGAAAGTGTGCCAACTTGTTAGCAGAACGGCAAAGCTCCTTACAGGAAACAGTGCCTGAAGGTCACTTTCAGCTAGCCCCACAACATTCAATCCAATGGCGTCCAATCAAGGCAATCCAAAATCAGGCTTCGGATAGGCTGGCACTGGATAGCCGTTAGCATGCAGGGATCAATCCTGATTAAAGAGAAAAACTGAAGACTAAACGCTAGCTGCAAATGGTTAGACTTTCCAGCAGAGCTTAAGAAAAGACATCCATATTTCTAGGACACTAGCAGAAAGCAAAGGCATACAGTAGATGGCAGTATAACCAACAGTTGATGTCCTGTGTCCCTTAATGGATGAGAAATACATTTTTCAGCTTACCAGTCCTTCCATGTAGTGGCTGCATTCTTTTTCCCCCAGTTTATTGCTGCATAGTAATCCAACCAGTAACACTTTCTTTAGGGATTCAATGCTGACTCACTGTATTAGTATTTATGAAAGAGCAACATTGTTACCAAAGGACCGGAAGTGTTAGAGAACTATGGGGTAAGAGTTTTCCCCCCATAGTTCTCCTAAGGGCCACGGGAGGACATAAACTAGCGTCTTCCCATGTCCCAAAGCTCAGTATACAGTGAGCTACAGCTCACCGTATACAGAGACGGATCCCAACTTTACTGTCGAGATCCACCCAGCTGTGGCATTGACAGCTGGCTCTGCTTCTGCAGAGGCAGAGCCAGCTGTACCCGCCCCGTCCGTTCTTCCAGTCAGTGCTGGGGGGGGGGAGGGGATCCTTGCTGGGAGCCGTGAGTGACAGTCACAGCTCTCTGCAGGGAGATGATCGAGGAGTGAGCGACGGTATGTGTTTGCTCACTTCCCAATCTATTGAGCCGACGTGTGAGTTTCATTGTCACACGTCGGCTCGAACTATGAGGCTAAGTGAAAAAAATCACTCAGCTCATAGTTCTCCTTTAAAGACTACAGAATGCCTCCCCCTCTCCATAGGGGAGAGGTGCTCTGTTGATACATCACCTGGACAGAACCAATGCTTGAGAAAACACTTCAGAGTGTACAAGGAAGCAGTAAAGTTCTGGCAGACACAAACAGGTAATTTTTTGCATACAAAAAAATTAAAAGAAACCAGCACTTCAAAAAAGGTCTTTAATTGTTCAAAATAGCACAAAAACGACAGATAGCACTATAGTAATATTGGTTCACTTCGAGAACTCCTCTACAATGGAAGTAATAGCTTTTCTTCTCAAAGAAAAAAAGGCAGGTGAGGTTTTTTGTTTTTTTTTTTAGCAGGAGATTCTAGGCGGTAACACAGTAACACTATAATACAAATTGAGAAGTGGCAGCAGTCATTTTATGCGGGAGCTGCGGGTGCCCTCTCTACTCTCTTCCATCAAACTGGCAAATGGGGGGGACGAAGGGAATAAAGCAGCATAAACAAAGTTGCAATTGCTTCATGATGCCAGAAAACTATATTAAGATAATCTCATGTTAAAATAAAAAAAAAGTGGGGGCGGGAGGTTAGTAAGTGGGTGGAAAAACAAAAAAAGGCTACATTATCCTTTAAGACCTGACTCCCATCATAAAACTACCACTTCGATGTTACGTGTCAAATGACAACTGCTGCCTTTGCTGCCCATAAAATAGGATGTAAATTACATTGAATTTTGAAAACACATTCAGTCTGGGAACAAGTAAGCTGGCAATTCATAGAATTGTCAGAACCCCTTCATAGCGTTGCACTTCCTTCCTTAAATGCCTCAAAACGCGCTGCCTCCGATGCCGTTCAGGTACTCCATGTTTTTAAGACAGAAGAATATCACAAACCCTTGCTGTACTCTGCAGGCAAAGCCATCGCAGACATGGAAGACCCCTATTACAAAGTGAGGGGAGAGAGGGGGGCGTCACACAGCAGGCAGACTTCTCCTTTGCAACTTCTGTACAAGAAACCAATGTTGCTCCATGAGTGAGGAACCAGAAAAAAACAAAAACATTTGGAACCAGCTAGAGATAATAAAAATACAGAGCAAAAAGTATATGTGTTTATATATATATATGTACAAATCAACACAAGGATGGGCTGCATTAAAATTAATTACTTGAGATAATGTAAATTCTATGTGATTTAAACAAGTTGGCTGTTTTTGTTTTACTGGGTTTAGCTTTTGTACAAAAATCCTCATGCTTTAAGCTACTGCAGATTTTTTTTTGCCTTTTCTCTATTTTTTTTTCTTATAAATGTTTTTTTTTTTTTTTGCGCGTTTTTACAAAAAAAAAAGGAAACAAAAATGAACAGTTTGTGAAATCAAACGGCTTCAACTGCTTTATATATTTATATATGTATATTTATACTTATGTATATGAACTGAATAGAAAACAGCCGATGCGAACGCATGGCGTTCCTTGCCCCGCGGGCCAGCGAGACTGTGTGCTGGTTGTGTCCGGCAGGTGAATGAAAGTGGTTCGGTGACTTCCTGTTTTAGAAAATCATTGGCTGGTAAGGTTCTCAAAGCGCTAGGCTGATGATTCAGATGAAACGGGTCGTTTGATTGGTTCAATCTGAACTGCTCTTAGTGGAGAACAATTTAGAACAGCACGCAGTGACGCAAGGCGTGCCACTTTATATCTATATATTGCTTTGGAAGTCAGCAGGAAAAAAAAAGGAAGAAAATCTTGCGTAAGCAAAAAAAACGGTATTGGGGGGGGGGGGTTAAAAAAGGAAATATCCTTAAAACGAAAAACGTAAGCAGTGTTTAGAATATAAAAACATCTTACTGCCGGGAAGGTAGTATGATGGTCACCCTAAGCAAACAGCCAATAACGTCTTTCTTTACATCGCCCACCAAGCGTGAAAGGATTTATCATTGAGGCTTAGAACAAAAGCTTGGTAGGTAGATCATTCCCCCTTCCAAAGCCGTCTCAAAAGAAGGACAAACAAAATAAAATTAGATGCAATCACATGTGGGATGTGGCAATGCCCATTTGCAGTGCAGCTAAGCTGTCCAGAGGTGACTTGCTTCAAAACAAGCATCAGGATGGAGCTACAAAGAGTATTTATATAGAGATTTGTTTTCTTTTCTTTTTTACAACACCCCATTGCCTTGAGTCTTAAAACCTTTACACCACAGATAATGTCCAAGTGCTTCTGTTGTAAAAAGAAAAATAGTTCTAAAACAAGCGAAAAATAAAAGGACCTGGACGAATCTTCTAAGCGTTTCATTTACAAAGCTGGAGCATGCAGGCCTGTCTGCTTGTCGACTGAGAATCCATATTGTTCAGCGTTCCTCAGGCTCCGGTAGTACTCCCCCACACAAAGACCGAAGGCAAAATGAATCAGGATTGCTGGGAGAGGTTCAATTCTCCCAGAAAGGTGTGGAGGGAGGAAAAGAGGTGGAAAATGTGCTTTTCAAAGCAAAAACGAGGAAGAACAAATAGATCAGTTCATCCAACCCCAGGCAAATGGTGGTGGGCAAAGCAATAACAAATTGATTGGGGATATAGAGGATTTTGAGGAAGATCAAGGACATAGCTGTACTTCTAGGCTGTGCAGGAGCTTCTGTGATCAGGGGTGGTCAGGTTTGGCCTTCTTTGGAGCCGATTTCCTAGAAGGAGAAGAGAAAAATAAATAAAAAGGTTATTTAAACGACATGGCCACTCCACAGCCAGGATCACCCCCCAATATCTCCTGTCAGGTAAAGGTGGAAATTCTCCAATGTTGTGCGAGTCACCTTGCTTGCAGAGGAAACCAAAAAAAAAAAAAATCACTTCCTGGATCACCAACCAGATAGTACGACATGAAGGCAGAGTGGTGACACAGGAAGCTGAAATGCTGAACCAGGAAATACACATCAGTCACACTTCATCAGCAAGGCAGGTGAGCCAAGTCACAAGACTGACTGAACTGTTGCCTTGTGTACAGCTAACAAAACAGGCACATTGTGGGGAGGCTGTAATAAAGGGTACCCGTGTTTTAAGGCAATTGCTCCTTGATGATTTCCCATAAGAAAACAACCCCACCCACATTGGAAGCCCCAATATAAGATCCATTGCTTCCAGAGCATGTGACCCTCAGGTACTTTAACCTTCATTGTACATTGTGTGCAGAAGACAAGAAGGCACACTGATATAGTAAATCTGTGTGTCCAAGATACATTGACTATGCTAGAAACCGTGTCTCTTCATATAAAAACATAAAGGAGAAGATTGGAATAAGGTGCAACAATCTCTGGTGACAAGGAGGTTTCATTCTAATGATTCGGTAAATGGGCCGATTGTAGACAGGGCCTCTTCTAGAGTTCTAGGCAGTGCTATTTTATGCAATAGCATCTCCCTTTGGCAAACATAAGAAAAAAAAAAAGGATATATATGCACACAAATATACACTATATTGCCAAAAGTATTGGGACACCTTTACACGCACATGAACTTTAATGGCCTCCCAGTCTTAGTCCGCAGGGTTCAGTATTGAGTTGGCTCCGCCCTTTGCCGCTATAACAGCTTCAACTCTTCTGGGAAGGTGTCCACAAGGTTTAGGAGTGTGTCTATGGGAATGTTGGACCATTTGTGAGGTCAGGTACTGATGTTGGAGGAGAAGGCCGGGCTCGCAGTCTCCGCTCTAATTCATCCCAAAGGGTTTCTATCGGGTTGAGGTCAGGACTCTGTGCAGGCCAGTAACGTTCCTCCACCACAAACTCCCTCATCTATGTCTTTATGGACCTTGCTTTGTGCACTGGTGCGCAGTCATGTTGGAACAGGAAGGGGCCGTCCCCAAACTGTTCCCATGAAGTTGGGAGCATGAAATTGTCCAAAATGTCTTGGTGTGCTGATGCCTTAAGCCCTTGTTCACACCTGAACGTTTTGTAGCGCGTTCTACGCTCGACAAACGCTCTACAAAACACTCAAAAATATAAATCCCATTGTATTCAATGGTCTCGTTCCCACCTTGGCGTATTTCCACCCGTCCCCAACGTGCTACAAAACGGCCCACGCCTGAAAAGGTACGTGTACTACTTTGGGCCGTTTTGTTGCGCGTTTCCATTGGAATACAGCCAAGTAGCCTTCGGAAACGCGCGACTTTTAAACGCACATATGCAATACGCCTAGGTGTGAACGAGACCTCAGAGTTCCCTTCACTGGAACTAAGGGGCCAAGCCCGACCCCCTGAAAACAACCCCCCACCATAATCCCCCAGTGGCGGCGTGCTTTACACCACGGCATCCCACGCTTTGCATTGCACTTGGTGATGTAAGGCTTGGATGCAGCTGCTCGGCCATGGAAACCCATTCTATGAAGCTCTCTACGCACTGTTGTTGTGCCAATCTGAAGGCCACACCAAGTTTGGAGGTCTGTAGCTATTGACTCTGCAGACAGTTGGCGACTTCTGCGCACTGTGCGCTTCAGCATGCGCTGACCCCGCTCTGTCATTCTACGTGGCCGACCAGCCAGTTGCTTGTTCCCAGTTGCTTCCACTTTGTTATAATACCGCTAACAGGCGACCACGGAATATTTAGTAGCCAGGAAATGTCACTTATGGGACTTGTTGCACAGGTGACAACCTATCACGGTACCACGCTTGTAGTCACTGAGCTCCTGAGAGCGACCCATTCTTTCACAAATGTTTGTAGAAGCGTCTGCATGTATAGGTACTGGATTCTATACACCAGTGGCCATGGAGGTGATTGGAACACCTGAATCCAATGATTTGAAGGAGTGTCCCAATACTTGGCAATAAGTGTATGTGTATCAAAACCGATCACGTTTGCAGCCTAGAACGAACAAGAGTGGATCTAAACTTTCTATATCACGCATTATGAGCACAGGCTTGTGATTGGTTGGGGGCTTTGATTGCTCTCTGCTATGATGAAACTCAGAGATGCCCATTCCTCCTGTTGTACCCACTGTGTGTAACCCCAAATATCACTGAGCAGATCATGAATGGATCAGCGCCAATGCTCAGCTAAGAATATAATCTGCAGCCTGTGGACACCATAACACAGCAGGTAATGACACTACATAGACTTCTGGTTTATGTCATTGCCCGTTGACTTATGGATCAGAAGGTGGACAGGAGAGATGAATCAGAAGGTCACTGATTCAGTCATTGTTGGTGAGCTAGAGATGATCCCAGGGTTCTTAGGTACCATCTTAGGGAAGAAGCAGGTCCCACACTGACCTGGGTTCAGAGTCCCTCATCTGATGCCCGTAACCAAGGCCCAAGGGCAGCTGTCTCCTGGTGGCTAGGGGAAAAGCTCAGCTGGAGCCGACACAATCCGGAGGATGGTTATCCTCTTAAAAGAGGGGAACCTCAAGGCCCATTCACCCCCAAGGGTAGGACAGGATTGGGACTGCCCCAGGGATCTTGCCCAGGTATCCCCTAAGCCACTCTGCACAGTAAGCCCCTGCCACGTGCACGCAGGCCTATAGAGTAAAAAATAACAAAGTATTCCCATGCTCCTGTTAGGCCGAGGAAACACAAAAAACTGAGGCATGCCGGGGGTAAGCGCCCTTTTATTTGGTGTATGTGATGTGTTTCCTGTTTCAGGTGGGAGGAGACTCTCTCAGATGTTGTCGTGGAAGATTACTTGGGAAAAGACTATAGCAATACACATGTATTTAAAGAAATGGAAGCTCAAATCCAATACTTACATATCGGGTGAGGAAACCGGGCGTTTAGTTCCAGGCTTGCCAGCTGAACCATCCTTGCTGGATTCTAAAAAGGTAAAAGTAACATTAAGAACCATCGTATACATCTCTAAAGTTGCGCTCTCATCAAAAACCAAGCAACCAGCATGATCAACTAGAAGATGAGATTTCTTAATGCCAATAATCTACACCGATCTGGAAGCTTCAAGGTTGCTGCTGTGGCCAGAGATCTTGACTGAAGAAAGGCAGAAAAAAAGGTAACTAAACGATCACATCTCACTCGGAGAGTAGACACCTAAGGGTGCTAGTAAAAAAAACAAAAAAACACCCGGAGGATTTCCTGGAGAGGAAGGGGTTATACGAGGGTCCCCACAGCCTTGTGATACCTGCATATTACCCAGACTATGAATTGCCTCAGTACTGTAATGTGTGATCAAGAAAGTATTTTGATGGGTCACACAGGACTTCAGGCAATACCGTTCTTACAAGAACATGGACCTGAACTCAAAGTGAGGATTTGCTTTGTTATAGGGAACATCTACTAATGTTAACTGTGCCTACGTTTTACACACGTCTACCTTTGGTCTGAATTACTTCAGAAAATACGAGCACTTACTGGTATGCCAGCGTACCTAGCAAATCCAGTACCTATAACCTCACATCTGCAGTGCGAGATCTAAGACACTGCTGCCTCTGACTGCTAGTCTCAGGAGATTTAGGCATGTCGCTGTTCTCCATGCTGGAGGATATGACATGAGGAACCAAAGCCCTGCCTCTACCAAGATGATCCCCTTCAGCACAGACAGTGCTAAACAGGGCATGGTAAGTCCATAATGAGGAGGTGGGCTGAACTAATTTGCCATGGCCCCGGGTCCCTCAGAAGAGCAGGTGATCCCAAAAACCACAATCAGCTGTAGGGAGAGCACAGGCAATACGGACCAGTCTTTGCCACAATTTTTTGGCCATAGCATTTCCAATGTAATTCTCTCAAACTTATCTCTTGATATCTGTATATAGATATAGATTATATATAGATATAGATTATATATAGATATAGATTATATATAGATATAGATTATATATAAAAAAAATCATGTCTGCAGGTGTTGCTCAGCACCCCTAGCTTTTTGCTGATGGCTGGTCTGGTAAAAATTGGATCTTGCCTACATAGTAACCAAGTGATCAGCAGTGTCACATACCTTAGATCCAGACCTTTCCTGCTGGTGCCAATCTGACCACAGTCAGCATACAACACACACTTCTAAAATACTAAAAGGAAGCTGGAGAAGGCTGTGAGTGCAGCATTCCTGTCTCAGTGCTCACATGGAGTAGAGCGGAGAACGCTCCCCATCTTCAACTAAATTTGCCATGGTCCCGGGTCCCTCAGAAGAGCAGGGGATCCCAAAAACCACAGCGGGGGGGGGTGGGGTGGGGAAGAGAGTGACAATCAGGCTGCTTACAAGTGATCTTGAGGGGCTATACAGCCAATCGAGATCACTTGTACAAAACAGATCCCCCCCCGCTACATATAGCCCTGCTGCTTGCCCAAAGCAGGGCTAACTGTAGTAGGAATTCCACAGCCCTGCCCTTGCACTACACCAAACCATCACATGCTAAAATCAGGCTGCTTACAAGTGATCTTGAGGGGCTATACAGCCAATCGAGATCACTTGTACAAAACAGATCCCCCCCCGCTACATATAGCCCTGCTGCTTGCCCAAAGCAGGGCTAACTGTAGTAGGAATTCCACAGCCCTGCCCTTGCACTACACCAAACCATCACATGCTATACCCGAACACCACAGGTACTTTGAAGCCTTCAAAATAGAACATCACCAAAAATCAATATACATGTCATAGGATTATACCATTGTGTCCTCACCTTGCAACCACCTGACTTGCGTGGCAGGTCCATAGCCCTTCTCATTACGTGCAGCAATCCTGAAGATGATGGCTGGTTTTGTGGTATAGTCTATGTGAGCATTAGATAGGCTGGAGGACTGTACCAGACAGGATGGATTTGGGCCACAGTATACCCGCATGAAAGCCAGCTGAGCGGGTGTTGTGGCTTTCTGTTCACCGCTCTGGCTGCTTTGGATAGCCAAGTAGACAGAATATTCTATGATCTTCCCAGACGTGACAGATGGAGGTTCCCATGTGAGGTGAGCACCATCCGGACTCTACAGGAACAGAAAGTGCACATTGGTCAGTTTACATATAAAAAGTCTTCTAGAATGCAGGTCAGTGATCGTGTAGCATATTAAGCAACACTTAGGGAGGGGGAAAGGGGGTTAGTAGTCAAATTCAGCTGCCGTATTTACAATGGAAGCGACTCTGCTGTCGCCAGGTTGGGCCGGTAAGCTGCCTACGGGCCCGGCATCTCTGGGTAGTTAGGGGGAGGGGGTCGATGACGACGCGGCAAACGACTTCCGTTCACCAATCTCCTCGCCGCACTATGAGACCAGGAGTGATGCATATTACATCACTGCAATAGCTCATTTAGAGGGTAAAGGTGACACTGGGGGTCTTTTGGACCCCCAGTATCACCTTAAAGGAGTACCTGTCACCACCAATATGCCATCACATGGGGGATTTGTAAGCCTCACTATGTGATAGCAATAATGAAAAAATAAAAAAAAATGTTTAAAGTCCTCCACGAGTCTTCACGTAAACATGCGTCGGGTACATTGGAAAACAACGATCGCGCTACACAGGTTGGGTATCGCTGAGCACGCCAGAGAGAGAGCAATAATTCTAGGGCCAATATTAATGATTATTTCTAAACTGAAGACCTGTAGGGGCTTTTCAAGCGTCTATGGACTTTTTGGGGTACTGAATTTTGTTGGTTTCACGGATGCACACAATTTTTTACCTGGGCATGTTGGGTATCCATTTACTCGTTGTAACCTCATATTTTAGATTACATTTTAAAAAATTGGTATTTTATAGTAATTTGGAGTATGGCAAGTGCATTTTTCACTAAATTTTGGGGTTTAATAAATTGCACTAATATCGTGCAACATATAAATTTGCAACTGCCGGCATTTTGTTTTACAGGGCCTTGGCTTTCAGAAAATACATCATGTTTGGAGGGGTTAGAAGTAATTTTCAGGCCTAAAAATGTGGATTATAAGATGGGTGCAAAAAAGAAAAAGGCCTCGGTCATGAAGGGGTTAAAGATATGCAAGGGTAAAATAAGTGCAGGTTTAACTCCAGCAGCCTGCCATGAAGCCATGTTGACAGACCATTGCTCTGACTGCACATCTTGGGCTCCCTCAGTCACATGACAGTGCTCAGGCATAGTGACGTGCCGCTAGGACTGTCATGGGAGGCCACATGATTTCCATATCCAGATGCACCGGGGATTTGGCACTGTCTGCAACCAGGTTCACCCTGTCTCTATTGCAAAGTACCTGACATTTCTGGGTACATGCCCTGTCTCTTTAAAGCTAAAAACTGCAGTAGACAGATATTAAATAAATACAACAGGCACGTGTATTCTTACTTGAATCTAGATCCGCGAATATTGGGCATCTAGCACCTGCACTTTGCTTGTGG